CCCGGGGGGCTAAGCGCCGAGAGGGGTTTGCAGAGAGGGGCACGGCAGGGCCGGCAGCTTTGGACTTCACCAAGCCCCGTGTCTGCACCAGAAGCTTTGCAAGTTCAAGGAGTCAACTAGGTGGGTATCCGCAGTGAAAAAGGCACCGGAGCACCGATAAGGTCTCCCGAAGTCGGCAGCGGAGCAGCAGGGAACAGCTTTCTGTTTATTTTAAGAGCAAGTTAATGATGGAGATCATTTCTGAGAGCTCCTAGAGCCAGATCCGTCCTGTCCAGTGGCATCTTCCCACTAACGGCAAGCACCCGGACGTCCTGCAGCCCCTTGAGGGAAGCGGGAAATGCTCTGCTCGATGGTGCCCTGCGACAGCCAATCCGGCGCAGGACAACCTCACCTCCTCCTCCTGTCCTTCTGTCTGCTTTCCACTCCTCCCTGGTAACCACTGCAGCAGCATGGGGAAAAATGGCTTTAGATGGCTTTTGTCCACGTGTGAAAGGACAATTAATTTTTAAAAAAAAAAAAAAATTTACAGCTTTCGGAGATTTGCCTCTATTTATGCTCCTACTAACACTCTTCTGTGCTTAAAGCCCCCTGGCACGCTCGGGAGAGCGGCGAGGTGGGCTGGCAGAGGCACCGGCGTTGCTCTCCTCCACGCCGCAGCGCTGGGATGCCTCGGCAGTGACGCGGCCAGCGCTGCGGCATTTTTCAAAGACGGGCTGATGATTTTTCCAGGGGCGCGAGGGCCCGGCGTGGCCAGGAGCTGCCACAGCCTCCGGGAAATCCCTCGGCACTGGAGCCCTCCCAGGCGGGTCCGTAGGGCCGCACCGAGGTGGCCACAGCTCCCTCCATCCCAGTCCCCGTGCCCAGCGCATCCCAGCTGCTGGCACGCACTGCCTGACCATCCTTTATTACGGCTCTGCGAGGGATGCTGCAGGGGTGCCCAGCTCCTGAAGAGATGCAGGCAGGGCCAGAAAGCTGCAGCCCCCTTTCCTAACTCCTCCGTTAACGCAGGAGACAAGAAAGTGAGGGTTATTTTTCTGCTCCTCCTTGAAGCTTCAGGTGTCAGCCCCTAGAGCAGCTGGCAGAGAGGCAGGGGAGGATCAGCTGCGTCTCCAGCCTGGGATGAGAGCAACACCCTGTTTCCTCCACCTTTGTAACCATCTCACATTTACCACTGTCTTATTTTAGAGATTTTTTTTTTTCTCTCCTTTTTGCTTTCTAAGCATTTCAATTCAGAAAGATGCTCTCCTGTCCTCTAACTCTCTCTTTCTCTTTGCCTTCCTCTCTCCCCTCTCCTCCCTCCGTGCTCCCTGTTGCAGAACCGCATGCACGAATCTCTCATGCTCTTCGACTCCATCTGTAACAACAAATTCTTCATCGATACCTCCATCATTCTCTTCCTCAACAAGAAAGACCTATTTGCTGAGAAGATCAAGAAATCACCTCTGACCATCTGCTTCCCCGAATACACAGGTACGTGCTGGGGCTGACGCGGCACAGCCCATCATGATGCCCACCACTGCGCCAGCAGGGCCGCGGGGCTGCGTCGCACCCCAGAGGTGGGCGGGGGATGGGGAGGAAGGGACAGGGCGCCTTATGGGGGAGCAAAAGCACTGCCCACCTTCAAGAGCTGCGGCGCAGCTCCATCACCCCGCTCTTGGGCTGGCGTCGTGTCCTGTGCGCGGCTGATTCTTGAGGCAAAGGTGCATGACCAGCCGGTGGGACAGAGAGATGGCGGTCAAGATGGCTTGAGACAAATGGAGATGAGCTTCAATGAGTCTGGCCACATGGAGCTGTGGACAGGAGAAGTCCTGGTGAGAGCTGACTGCCCACCCTGCTTGCTGGTGGTTCCCGAGATGTTCCTGCTAAAGGAGCCAAGACACACAGTCCTCCAAGCTGCATCTGCTGCTTGCATCCTCCTCCTCCCGGGAGCGCCTTTGCGCAGGGTGCAGCTGGGGAAGGGAAGAGCCCCTTTACAGCAGAAATCTGTGAAACCACAGGAGAATCATGTTTTTAAGTGAAACCAACGTGGCTTGGGGAAAAGAACAAAACCCAAGAAAACGGGTTAAGAAGAGATATCCCTTCTGAATTCTTTAAGGGAAAGAAAAAACAGTCAGTTCAGATTCAGAGGCTCCGGCATCCCCTACAAATACTTGAATTTCTCCAAATTATTTCACCCAAACCACACCCACCCTGGGCACCGGACTCTGGTGACAAGGGGGTCCCCCATCGAGACAGCACCCATTCCTCTATGGCCGAAGCACGCCGGCATTCCCACCGGAGGCTTTTAGGTTTCCCCACCATGAAAGCAGCAGTACTTTTTTCCCAGCCACCTGGTAGGACATCCCAAACTACCCCACGCGGCGTCTGAGTCGTACGGCACAACCTGGCTGCCCCAAGGAGGGGGATCCAGCCACCTCCCCTTCTCCTTCAGCCACTCATCACGTCAGGAAGGAGAGGAACCAGCGAGCCAGGAAAGGAAAATAAATCTCCAGATAACAGCAGCTCATACCATAATACATATTTTTCACCCCAAACATCTGGTCCCGCTCCAAAAGGCAAAACAACACAAACCCCACAAAAGCCAAACTCTCCTGGTCCACCAAGGAAGCGGGCAATGGATCTCTAAGGGGCTCCTGCCCCACCGCAACCCGCC